TTATCCAGAATGTAGACTTGTCTCATTCAGTACTGTAACAAATGCAGGCTTATACCAATTTTCGTTCAGCGAACTGTGATAACTGTAAAAAATATTTGAACTTGATACATGTTGTGATGACCTTGGAGGTGGCAAGCATTATATCATTGCCTCGTGTTGATAGTGATGGCTGGAGAACAGGTATGGTGATACTGATAGTGTAGATAGACACGTATACACAGTTCAGGATCTTTATTGAGATGTTATAAACAAGAAGTTATATGTTGGACATTAACAGAGACTATACACAGACAAAAGTACACTGGCGCACATCCACCAACCATAAGGGCCCATATGACCTATGGGGGCCATATGTCATTGAAGCAAGAATTTTGGGTGGCTTTAAAAATATGTTGGACAGGAACATGAGTGTGTGTGACCTGCACCTGCTTAGCATGGACCAGTAGGCCTGATGTAGTGTTCTCTCTTATGTTCTTATGACTTCTTGAAGACATTGGGTTGCACAATCTGGACTTACTACTTATTACCTCAGCTCAGTATTTAAATTTTTAAGAATTACTATACATCTTAAAACATCCATATTGAAAATAGATTTAGCAATGTTCTGCATTTACAAACCATTAATGACTTATTAATTTAACTTTTTTACACAAAGGTATTTGAGGTGATAGATCATGGTACTGAAGTACATATACACAAGATCATTAATGCCTTTGATAGTTCCACACAAGAGATTGTTGAGAAAAGTAGAGGCACATAAAATAGGAGGGGAATTTTTTTCTCAAATCAAGGCACAGTTGACAAGTAAGCAACAGAGAATTTGCATAATTTGGGAAAATCAGAGTGGGGACACATCACAAATGTTCCACTGGGGGTCACCATTTGGCCTTTTGATGCTCACAATATACATAAATGACATAGATGAGGGAATAAGTAGCAGCATAAGTAAGTTTGCCACTGATACTAATATAAGCCATTTGATTATTTCTGGTGAGGACACTAGAGCATTACAGGAAGATCTTGATAAATTGATAGTGATCAGAGAAAAGGCAGCTCCAATTTAATGTAGACATATATGGTTCTAAGCTTAGAAAAAGAAAACTGCCATGGCACTTATAAACTGAATAATATAGATCTCAATTATTCTGACTGCAAAAAAAAATTAAAAGTTATGAATGGCAGTACGTATTCCAAAGCCAAGACAACAGTCCATGAGTGTTTACTAATAAAGCTAATAGAATTCTTGGTTTCATATCAAGAATTATAAATAATAAGAGTCCTCAAATTATGGAGATAAATGGTATTAAATACCAAAACAATGGAGAAATACACAAATGCAGTATAATGTGATCTTTTATTGACTACGTTTCACCCACACAGTCGCCTTTATCAAGTCACAAACAGATCTACCTGGGCAAAGAGTACACGAGTATATATAGGGTGGAGAATGTTGGGGAGGTTGGATTTCAGATGGACCTGCACGGGATGGGAAGTATGTTGTTATATAGCATAACAAAGAAATTTCCTGGCAAGGGGTTCAGCTATATTGTAAAAGCTGTTGTTCTGGTTGAAATTGTTGGATATACAGGATGTTGGAATGATCACTTGTGTGTGTATATCCAACAGTTTCAACCAGAACAACAGCTTTTACAACATAGTTCAACCCCTTGCCATCATTATCCTACATAACAACATACCTGCTTGTCCATCCCATGCAGATCTATCTCAGATCCAACCTCCCCAACATTCTCCACCTGACTCTCCACCCTGTATATTTTCACATACTCTTTGCCCAGGTAGATCTGATAAATTAGACACCTGTGCAACTCTTGGGTATCTTTATTGAGGAAACGTTTTGCCACACAGTGGCGAAACAGTATTTTAGCAAGGTATGCTTGTAAAAAAAAGTTTGTGGTTATGCATTATTTACAGTATGCAAAGCAGAGTATTTTTTCAGAATGGGTGGTAATATGCCACTGGATAAAATACCTCTATATTTCATTTTTTTTTATTTTTTTATTATCACACCGGCCGATTCCCACCAAGGCAGGGTGGCCCGAAAAAGAAAAACTTTCACCATCATTCACTCCATCACTGTCTTGCCAGAAGGGTGCTTTACACTACAGTTTTTAAACTGCAACATTAACACCCCTCCTTCAGAGTGCAGGCACTGTACTTCCCATCTCCAGGACTCAAGTCCGGCCTGCCGGTTTCCCTGAATCCCTTCATAAATGTTACTTTGCTCACACTCCAACAGCACGTCAAGTATTAAAAACCATTTGTCTCCATTCACTCCTATCAAACACGCTCACGCATGCCTGCTGGAAGTCCAAGCCCCTCGCACACAAAACCTCCTTTACCCCCTCCCTCCAACCCTTCCTAGGCCGACCCCTACCCCGCCTTCCTTCCACTACAGACTGATACACTCTTGAAGTCATTCTGTTTCGCTCCATTCTCTCTACATGTCCGAACCACCTCAACAACCCTTCCTCAGCCCTCTGGACAACAGTTTTGGTAATCCCGCACCTCCTCCTAACTTCCAAACTACGAATTCTCTGCATTATATTCACACCACACATTGCCCTCAGACATGACATCTCCACTGCCCCAGCCTTCTCCTCGCTGCAACATTCATCACCCACGCTTCACACCCATATAAGAGCGTTGGTAAAACTATACTCTCATACATTCCCCTCTTTGCCTCCAAGGACAAAGTTCTTTGTTTCCACAGACTCCTAAGTGCACCACTCACTCTTTTTCCCTCATCAATTCTATGATTCACCTCATCTTTCATAGACCCATCCGCTGACACGTCCACTCCCAAATATCTGAATACGTTCACCTCCTCCATACTCTCTCCCTCCAATCTGATATTCAATCTTTCATATCAATAAATATTTCATATCAATAAATATACCCAAGAGTTGCACACGTGTCCAATTTATTAACGTGTCGGTTCTCTGAACCATTCATCTACAATCTACAGGTAGATCTGTTTGTGACTTGATAAAGCCCATTGTGTGGGTGAAACGCAGTCAATAAATGATCGAATTATACTGCATTTGTCTATTTTTCCTCAGATTATACTTCATCTTTATATATCCTAAGGCCTCGTTTAGATTATGCTATGCAGTTCTGGTCACTATATTACAGTTAGTTTAATATCCTTATTATGCACCCCATGTCCATGGTGTGAGCAAGTAAAAGAATAAATAGAGAGGCACATTGGTCCAAGAACAAGGTGACAAAGTTACAGTGAAAATTGACTGTTTACAAGTACGTATATATGTATCTGGTTACAATTGTAATGAGTTATTGATGCAGACATGGATTGGATCACAGAAATATTACCTTATACAGTATTTTAGCAAGGTATGCTTGTAAAAAAAAGTTTGTGGTTATGCATTATTTACAGTATGCAAAGCAGAGTATTTTTTCAGAATGGGTGGTAATATGCCACTGGGTAAAATACCTCTATATTTCAGAGTGAGTTGTCTCTGAATTCATCAATTTTATTGCATTCCAGCACACACTGAAAGGTGTAAACAATTGTTCATCTGACAAAGTTTACGTTTAGTTTTGTCTATGTCGGCTGGCAGTGGTGATTTAACCTCCCAGAGATAATAATAATAATAATATCTTCATTTACTACAAGTACATGGTATACAGGCCTAGCTGACATCAATGACATTCTACTATATAGAAAGCCTCTTGTTATGCTGAACATTTCGGGCAAATTAGGTCAGTGTCCCAGGATGCGACCCACACCAGTCAACTAACACCCAGGTACCCATTTTACTGATGGGGAACATAGACAACAGGTGGAAAGAAACATGCCCAGTGTTTCTATCCTGGCTGGGAATCAAACCCAGGCCCTCGCCATGTGAAGCAAGAGCTTTAACCACCAGGCCACCAGAGCCCTGTAACCCAGCTGGAGCTGGGTGGTAGTGACATCCAGATGTGCTTATTTTGTTGGATGCACTGTAGATATGTGGTTCCTGCATGATAATTGGACTTGCTGGTGTCAATCTCACTCATTCTCGAGTCAATGAAGTTCTCAAACTGCTAACTGACATCACAAGATTGTAATCTATTCCCTCTTTGCCATCCGTTCTATCGTGCATCTCAGCTCGGCTCTTGTACCAAGGTCTGGGGGTTGATCCATGGTATGGCTGGAAACATTAGGATGTGTTTCTTTAAGATACCTGCTGTCCATGTTCACCCATCAATAAAATGGGAACCTGGGTGTTAGTCTACTGGTGTGGGTCACATCCTGGGGCAAAATTGACCTAATTTGCCCGAAATGCTCTGCATAACGAGGGGCTTTCTATATAGTAGTACAGTATGTCACTGATGTCAGCTAGGCCTGTATACGTACCTTGTACATGTACTTGTAGAAATAATTACTATTATTGTTATTATTATTATTATTATTATTATAATGTGAGATGGAATCTACAGGTGGTGTATTTTGACTTCTGTCCACAATCCCACCATACCTGCGTCTGGCTTCTGACACAACATGCCATAGTTGACATCGAAGGAGTTAAGAGTATTTATGGATGGTAAAGAATCACTTACAGATGAGGTGTAAATTTTTGATACATGGATGTATTTGAGTGCAAGTAGTATGGCAAGTAAAGGCCCAGTTATTGATGGGTGCTCCAATTTTTATATGAGAGCTGTCACACTGACAAGAACAGCACTACCAACTGCACCAAAATGGACATAAATGTGCTGGAAAACATACAGAGAAGGATGACAAAGTTGATACCATGAGATTGAACTGTGGTTATTATCTCAGTTGTGAGTTGAATAGGTTACCACTAAGCTGTGTGATTGGAAAATGTCATTTCAGCAGTTGTATATATTATTACCTTCAGTTAGGTCTTGTCAAACTTGCATCGTATACAAATGCACTTGTTATAGCTGCAGTGTCTGAATTATTAAAAAGTTAATGCAGTGCTAAGTTTTTCTCTAGTGATTTAATTTTTTAACAGGATGGCAAATGGAGAGCAGTACAATTCCTCCTCCAGGCGGACAACTCCTCCTCGGCAGACACCCCCTCGTAGCTCTGGCACCCCATCTGGAGCAAACACTCCTAGGCACATGCCGACTAAGAAGTCTCTCCCAGTGTTCAACTCCTACATGAGTCTTTTCCAAGTGCAGGAGAAACTCAAGAAAGGAGAAGTTATTGAGGTAATATTTGACTTTTCACTGACATTTGCAGGCTTATATACAAAGAGAAATTTATAGTTTGTGATAACATAGGGAAGTCTTGGAAATTTTATAGAAATTTTCTTTGAAATTCTGACAGGTTGCTATATTCTGTAATGCTTTGAAAGATTAGACTTGATCCTCAGTAATTTTAAAGCAATTTTCTCTCTCTGCTTCTCTGACTTTATAGCATTTAGAGCTTTGGTTCACCTGCACTGCTTAGCTTTATTCATGTTTTTAAGCATTGTATCTTACCTTCTCTTCCCAGAATTTTACTATTGAAACATTCACACAACTTCACTTATGCATAGTCAAACAGTCTAGTTTCAAATATCAAAGTGTGAGATTCAGTTTGTTATATTCTTCTTGCCTTATTGGAGTAACTGTTGAAGTTCAACATAACAGGAGCACTTCATTAGGTCCACAGACTTTGAAAGTTTTATTTTAATAACCAGTGAATATTTCATTTGGCATGCATTGGCTGGTAAATGTTGTGGAATGCCTTTTAGTTTTCTTAATATAAGGAAAGGAAACTTTGTAGGATGGAGGGGGGACTTTTCCAGAGACTGTCAAACTTGGACAGAGATGCATGATGTAGCCATCTTTTGTTTAACATATTTAGATGGGGGTTGTAAAAGTGGTGACTGCTAGGGTGTTGGTAAGAGATGTGGTATTAAAAGATGTTGGATCTGATGCAAAGTGGGAGTTATCAGTTGCTCTTCTGGTGATACCACAGTTCTTTTGGGAGATTCTAAAGACATGTTGCATGAGTTGAGGGATGAATTTGGGAGGGTATATAAAAAATGGAAATAAAAAGTTGAGTATAGAGAAGAGCAAAGCAATGAGGGTAACAAAAATCTAGGTACTAATAGAGTGAATATCAGATTACAGGAATTAGAAAGTTAATGAATTTTGATACTAAGGCAAGGATGTGTCAGGAGATGGATCTATGAAAGACGGTGGGTACTAGAGAATGGCAGAGGGAAGAGGTGGGTGGTGTTTTGAGACATCTATGGAAAGAAATGTTTTTCTCTGGAAGCAGAAAAAAAAGTACGATAAAAATTCTACCAGAGTGTAGAGATACCAACACTTTCATATGGATATGAGGCATAGGTTTTTAAATGCTGCAGCATGAAGGCAGTTAAAGGTAGTAGAGAAGTCATGTTTGAGAGTGATGTGAATATCCTGCAGAAATTCAGAGCATAGAAATTAAAAGGTGATGCAGTGTCACCATGGGTACAATTCAGAGCTGAGGAGTGAGGCATTTGGGCAGAGGGACAGGATGACAATGAAGGTGTATAAATCTGGGGCGGAAGATAGGATGGGTTAGGGTTGTCCGAGAGATTGTTGGAGGGAAGGGGTGATAGAGGCTTTTGAGTTTTAGAAGCTTATACAAGTGTTAAATAGGAATAAATGGATGGGTTTTAATGAATGTTCTGTTGGTGTGTGAGTAGGGCAACATTTTATAAAGGATTGAGGGAAACTGGTTGGCTGGACTGAAGTCCTGAAGGTGGAAAGGGCAGTGCCTGTACTCTGAAAGAGGTGGGGGCTAATCTTAATTGTGATATCAGCACACCTGAATAGGAGACAACTATTGAGAGGAAAAAAAGACTATGCCACCCAGTTATGTTTATTATTTCTTATTTGGGAACATTCTTTTGTAAAATAAAAATAATAAGTGGCAGTTCCTAGATTTTTGTACTGGATGTCATCAGAATAGAAATTAATGAAAATTCAGGTCATGCTGTGTTTTGTATTTGTTAAATATTGTGTATATACTGTATATTTTTGTATCTTCCCCTTCCTCATTTTGCATGGAATGGATCAAGTACAGTGTGTTTCCTCTTGTATATCTTGAATAATACAAGGGTCATAAGAAGGAGCACTGCAGCAGGCCTGCTGACCCATGCTAGGCAGGTCCAACTCTCACCCACCACCACCCACTCATATATTTGTCTAACCTATTTTTAAAACTGCACAACATTTTAGTTGTGACATTCTCGGGAGTTTGTTCCACTCATCTACAACTTTTACCAAACCACTGCTTTCCTATATCCTTCTTAAATCTAAATTTTTCCAACATGAACCCATTGCTGCAAGTCCTGTCTTGGTTAGATATTCCTTCTTTCAACAAACCAGCCATATCCCACCAAAGCAGGGTGGCACAAAATTAAAAACGAAAGTTTCTCTTTTTAACTTTAGTAATGTATACAGGAGAAAGGGTTACTAGCCCCTTGCTCCTGCCATTTTAGCTGCCTCTTACTACATGCATGGCTTATGGAAGAATAATTCTTTTCCACTTCCTCATGAAGGTAAGAGGAAATAAACAAGAACTAGTAAGAAAATTGAAGAAACCCCAGGGGGGTGTATATGTGCGTGTGTGCATGCATGCTTGTACATTCATGTGTAGTGTGACCTGAGTGTCAGTAGAAGCAGCAAGACATACCTGAAATCTTGCATGTTTGAGACAGAAAAGACACCAGCCATCCTGCCATCATGTAAAACAATTACAGGCTTCCATTTTACACTCGCTTAGCAGGACGATAGTACCTCCCTATGTGGTTGCTGTCTATCCAGCCTAGCTGGGATTTCAAAGTGAAGCCTTTACTCGTGTATCACTGAAAATCCCAGTGTGTTCAAGAAAAACAGTGTCATGAAGAACAAATTGTGTGTGATGTGGAGGGCTAACAATAAGGCATGGGTCACGAGGCTAATTTTCATTGAGTGGGTCACTGAAGTGTTTGGCCCGAGTGTGAAGAAATACCTCCTGGAAAATAAATTGCCACTTAAGTGCCTCCCAGTACTGGACAGTGCTCCTGCTCATCCTCCAGACTTGGAAGACCTATTGTTTGAGGAGTGTAAGTTCATCACAGTGAAGTTCTTGCCCCTAAATACTGCTGCTCTCATCCAGCCCATGGACCAGCAGAGTTATTTCAAAGCAATGTTTCAAAGGTGCTTTGAAGTGACTTTGGACACTGAATTGACCCTAAGAGTTCTGGAGGAATCGCTTCAATATCCACCATTGCATAAGCTTGAAAGTCACTTCTTGGCAGGGAGTGACTTCCAGGACTTTGAACTCTGCTTGGAGAAAATTGTGGCCAGAATGTGTCCTCGACAAGGATTTTGAAGGGTTTGAGGCTGACCCTGATGACCCTATGCCTATTGCGGAATCTATTATTTCACTGGGGAAGTCCATGGGGTTGGATGTGAGTAGCCAGGATGTGGAAGAGTTGGCGGACTACCACAGGAAAGAGCTAGCCACTGAAGAGCTGCAGTACCTTCAACAGGAACAGCAACAGACCGCAGCTGAGGATATTACTTCAGAGGAGGAAGAGAGGGGAAGAATGTGCCTTCTTCAGTGATAAGGGCATTTGTGCAAAGTGGAGTGCAGTACAAAGTTTTGCAGAGAATTATCACCCTGACAACTGTTGCAAGCCATGTCTGCAACATGTTCAATGATAATGTCTTGTTCCATTTTAGGCAAATTATACAGACGCCAGAAACGGGTGCCTCTGAACAGATTTTTTGTGCAACAGAGGTACATTGACTCTCAAGCTGGTCCTAGTGCCAGTAAAAAACAAAGAAGGGAAGTAACCCCAGAGAGGGACTTGATACCTGAATACCTTATGTAGTGGGATTCCCCTTCAAACAATAAGCTCTCCTCCCTCACCCCTCCTCACCTTCTTCCATATGCTAACAAGAATCTTCAATAAAGGTATGTAATGTTCATTTATTATTAAAATTACTGCTTTATATTTCTTTCTAATTGTTTTCTGTATGTAAAACTATAGATATTCTTTAAACAATGTATTTTTTGTTAAGATGTTTGGGTGTCTGAAACAAATTAATTGGATTTACATTATTTCTTATGAAAAATATTACTTCGGTTTTCAGCCATTTTGGGTTTAGGCCAACCTTCTGGAACGGATTATGGCCAATAACCGGGGGTCCACTGTATTGTAGTACTACAGTACAGATTTAAGGATCAAGAGTTTTACCAGTTCTTTTTTTTTTTTTTTTTTTTTTTTTTTAAGAGACATACTTACAATAATAATTGTCATTAATATTCTTATGTTTATTTTTTCAGGGGGTGTTGAGAATCAACCCGAAAAACTATGAAGATGCGTATATCAGCGCGCCGGTAATTCTCGGTATCACCCGTTTCATTCTTGTTGTACTGTTCTAGCCAGTACTTTATTTTTTACATAACTCATTAGTTCACATTTAATACCTAAGTTTTAAAATTTAGTGATTTCTTTTAATTATTAATGAGTTTTGGATGTTTGAAAGACTTTTTAATTGTCTTTATTCCACCTTCTGAAGACATTCTAATGTAATTTTATTCTCTGCTCCAGTTTTAATTAACTCATTCCAGTGAAGTCCTATTCTAAGTTTGATTTATTATATTTTTGTTAGGTTTAATTGGCAATTGCATATGTATACATGTATATACAGTATTGTAAACCATTTTTAATAAGTTTATTAACTTCTTCAAAATGTGTGTTGGATTCTTGTGTGTATTATATACTGTACCATTTATATTACATTAGGATACTTCATATGCAATTATTTAATAAATGTATGGAAGAGGTAAGGTACCTAGGGATTGGCAGAGAGCATGCATAGTTCCTTTGTATAAAGGCAAAGGGGACAAAAGAGAGTGCAAAAATTATAGGGGGATAAGTCTGTTGAGTATACCTGGTAAAGTGTATGGTAGAGTTATTATTGAAAGAATTAAGAGTAAGACGGAGAATAGGATAGCAGATGAACAAGGAGGCTTTAGGAAAGGTAGGGGGTGTGTGAACCAGGTGTTTACAGTGAAATATATAAGTGAACAGTATTTAGATAAGGCTAAAGAGGTCTTTGTGGCATTTATGGATTTGGAAAAGGCATGTGACAGGGTGGAAAGGGGGGCAATGTGGCAGATGTTGCAGGTGTATGGTGTACGAGGTAGGTTACTGAAAGCAGTGAAGAGTTTTTACAAGGATAGTGAGGCTCAAGTTTGAGTATGTAGGAAAGAGGGAAATTATTTCCCAGTAAAAGTAGGCCTTAGACAAGGATGTGTGATGTCACTGTGGTTGTTTAATATATTTATGGATGGGGTTGTAAGAGAAGTAAATGCGAGGGTCTTGGCAAGAGGCGTGGAGTTAAAAGATAAAGAATCACACACAAAGTGGGAGTTGTCAAAGTTGCTCTTTACTGATGACACTGTGCTCTTGGGAGATTCTGAAGAGAAGTTGCAGTGGTTGGTGGATGAATTTGGTAGGGTATGCAAAAGAAGAAAATTGAAAGTGAATACAGGAAAGAGTAAGGTTATGAGGATAACAAAAAGATTGGGTGATGAAAGATTGGATATAAGATTGGAGGGAGAGAGTATGGAGGAGGTGAATGTATTCAGATATTTGGGAGTGGACGTGTCAGCGGATGGGTCTATGAAGGATGAAGTGAATCATAGAATTGATGAGGGGAAAAGGGTGAGCAGTGCACTTAGGAGTCTGTGAGACAAAGAACTTTGTCCTTGGAGGCAAAGAGGGGAATGTATGAGAGTATAGTTTTACCAATGCTCTTATATGGGTGTGAAGCATGGGTGATGAATGTTACAGCGAGGAGAAGGCTGGAGGCAGTGGAGATGTCATGTCTGAGGGCAATGTGTGGTATGAATATAATGCAGAGAATTCGTAGTTTGGAAGTTAGGAGGAGGTGCAGGATTACCAAAACTGTTGCCCAGAGGGCTGAGGAAGGGTTGTTGAGGTGGTTCGGACATGTAGAGAGAATGGAGCGAAACAGAATGACTTCGAGTGTATCAGTCTGTAGTGGAAGGAAGGCGGGGTAGGGGTTGGCCTAGGAAAGGTTGGAGGGAGGGGGTAAAGGAGGTTTTGTGTGCGAGGGGCTTGGACTTCCAGCAGGCATGCGTGAGCGTGTTTGATAGGAGTGAATGGAGACAAATGGTTTTTAATACTTGACGTGCTGTTGGAGTATGAGCAAAGTAACATTTATGAAGGGATTCAGGGAAACCGGCAGGCTGGACTTGAGTCCTGGAGATGGGAAGTACAGTGCCTGCACTCTGAAGGAGGGGTGTTAATGTTACAGTTTAAAAACTGTAGTGTAAAGCACCCTTCTGGCAAGACAGTGATGGAGTGAATGATGGTGAAAGTTTATCTTTTTCGGGCCACCCTGCCTTGGTGGGAATCGGCCATTGTGATAATAATAATAATAATAATAAAAACTTCATATGCCAACTACAACACTGATCATGACCCATTATGGAAAGTGTTGCATTTGTCTACAGTAATTAGGAAATTTAGCAGTATTAAAAATGTTCATTATGATATTCATAATTATAATTTGCAGTAGCAGTCCAATTCACCCTTTTGAGTGTATTGTTCAAATAAGTAATTTTTTTCTTTGTGTTATTTGACTAGTCCATGTTCGTCTAGAAGTCTCATTTTATTAGGGAATTTCAATTTTCTTCCATGGTGAATAAAATTTTGTGGGAAGGGGAGGGGAAATTTTTTTAAAATGAACGTGAACCATCTTGGATAACACTCTTAAAGTTTTTTTTTTTTTTTTTTTTTTTTTTTTTTTTTTTTTTTTTTTTCAAACTCAAATGTAAAAAAAAAAAAATATGGATTGTAAAGAAAAAGGAATAGTTATTACTCTTGTCACTGCCTCTTACAGATGTGAAACATAGATGAAAAGATTGTGGGAGAGAAGAGGAATGATGCATAAAAAAAATAAAAGGAATAAAGGGAAATAAATATAATATGGGAATTGTCACAATCTCGGCTGATGACACACTAGTTTTGGGAGATTGGGGCAAGTTGCAGAGGTTGGTGGAATGTGGATGTATGTAAAAGGAGAAAGGTAAATTAAGCATAAAAAAAGGCCAAGCTATGCCATTTTGGAGAGTCAAATCTTTTATTGTCTAGACCACAGATTGGAGGGAGGGAGTATGGAAAAAGTATATGTACATTATATACATAGATATTTGGGAATGGAATCTGTGAAAGATCAAATGAATCAGAGTAGATGACAGTGTTAGTTGTCAGGAAATCTCTCAGATTTACTATTAATTTTGCCAACCTTTAAATAGTGTACATTATTAATTTTAATAAGTGTGAGTAGGGTAATATTTAGTGAAGGGATTCAGGGAAACCGGTTATTTTCATATAGTCGGACTTGAGTCCTGGAAATGGGAAGTACAATGCCTGCACTTTAAAGGAGGGGTTTGGGATATTGGCGGTTTGGAGGGATATGTTGTGTATCTTTATACGTATATGCTTCTAAACTGTTGTATTCTGAGCACCTCTGCAAAAAAAGTGATAATGTGTGAGTGTGGTGAAAGTGTTGAATGATGATGAAAGTATTTTCTTTTTGGGATTTTCTTTCTTTTTTGGGTCACCCTGCCTCGGTGGGAGACAGCTGACTTGTTGAAAAAAAACAAAAAAAAATTAAGTAGCTTTCCATTACACATGACTCACCCATTGTCCATCTTGATTCTGAATTAGGACGGGGGGATGGACATCTATATTGGCGGGGTACTTGACCGCAACGCTGCCCTGCACGGGGATGTGGTCGCAGTGGAAATTAAACCCCCCGACCAGTGGAAGGTACAATTTAATTGTTGTATATAGGAGTTTTATCTCCTCACCTTGCATCTCCATTCACTCTCTAGATATTGGGAAGGGGCTCAAGATCCAAGAAATTGGATCTGTCTTCCCTCCCTTTTCTTGGATTAAACTCAGTTGCCTCCCATTCCTACAGGTGCTGTAGAGCCCCTACTGATTTAGCATTTTCTATGAATGTAATAAACTGCTTTCCTAATATATCTGTTGTCATAATAGTGGATGCTCTACTTTTGTTCTTTCTCCTTTACCTTTTGGTAAGTCTTAGAAACTAAGTGTTTTATTACCCATTTTGTGTGTTGATTAAGACTTTACAAAAGCACTTATCTTATGATTTTTGTATACTGATTTAAAATTTGGTAGACAGTTTATGAAAAGTATTAAAATGTAAATCTTATTCCTTTGTTCAAGCAAATGTAGGTTGCCTCAGGTTCATATATTTAACTTCCATACCAGCTTGTGAAATTTAGAAAACATACCATCCCTCAAGAAATCTTTGCATGTTTAGCTTGTGAGCATTGTTATATAATTTTACCATCACATGGAAATAGTTGGTATGTTCTATTGTCATTTAATATTTATAAAGCAAAACTTATATATATATATTTTTTTTTCAGGTGCTCTATGATATATTAGATGAATACATAGAAAACCATAAAGAAAAAAAAAGTGTATATAGATTGCTGGAGTCCAATATAACTGCTTCAGTTGCCAACATTGCTTCTTCATATAACCCTTATCTATTAACACTAATGTCAAGCATTTCAATAAAAAGAAAAAGGGAGAGTCGTTGGAAAAAACTAATACAGAAATAGTAAAAGTAGCCAAAGCTGAAGATCATCTTGAACAGTGTGATAGTGATGTAGTGGTGGAAGGGGAAATGGAAAATTATGAAGTTCCACCCAACTCGGCCAAGGCAGTAAGAAAGAAGAAAAGAAGAGGAGGACGAGGAAAAAAGAAAGGGAGAAAGAAATCAGTTAAGGAACAGGGTGGATCAGATTCAGAAACTCAAGACACGCAGAGCAAGAATGCAATTGTACCTGAAGAGGCTAAGGAACAAGAATTGGATAATACCACCTTGGAAGTGGTGGTTGAATTGCATAATCAGGATATTCATATTGCTGATGAAATTTTAATTTTACCATCAAAACAAGATCTCAGTGGTTTAAGTCACTGTGATTCAGATGAAGACAATGCAAAAGTAATTGTTGTTCCTCCAGATCAACTTAGTGAGTGCGAGTTAACAGATGACGAGAGCGGATGTAGCGAAATCCTTGATTATGATCGGAATCGGGAAGATCAAAGTTTTATACAAGCCCAGTGGGAAGCTTTTCAAGAAGAAATAAGAAAACAAAATGACTGTCACCAAGATGTTTGTTCTAGTGATAAGTATCAGGTAGTTGCTGTACCAAGTGATGCCAAGCAGTTGAACATTCCCTTTGGAGCAACTGATATAAAGAAAATCAGTAGCATTGATCAGTTGGGTTTCATAAAGCAGGAAGGTGTAAATGTTGATCATGAATCAAAAAGTGATTCAGTTAGGTTAAAGGTGGAGGAGGTGTCGAGTGCCAATGTTGTAAATAGTGTGAACAAAGATGGTCATTATATAAGTACTGTGAATACAATGGAAGTTTATAATTTAAACACACAGTCTCTGCAGGGTGATATAACCTTTGAAGAAAAATCATGTAAGACTGAAAAAAGTGGGGTTAATCATGAAAAAGGTACCAGTGATCGGGAAATATGTGAACAGCTGGATAATTTAACATTAAATGATTGCTGTGAAGAAATGAAGGATTCCAAGAATTTTAAATCACGTGACCAAAAGAAGAAAGCTGGGGGTAAAAGGAATAAATCTGTTTCAGAGAAACTTTTGTCTTCTTTACCAAATAACACTCTGGGAACACCAAGCAGTATTTCAAGTGTAGAGGCTGGCTCTGCTTCACTGAAATCCTGTGACCATGTAAGCTGCAAAAAGGAGCATACAGCTGGAGATTACCCTGAACAGAAGTGCTGCAAAAAAATGACGTGTGACTTTACAAACAACCAAAGCATGCCTGTTGGGTTAAGTCATAAAAGGGAAAAGCAGTCTAGTGAAAATAATTCTTGCAAATTTACTAATAAACTCATAGACGACAATAAAAATACACAAAAAAGCAAAGAAAACTCTGGGAAGAAAATCTTAGCTGGTCAGACTAATATACAAATTTCAGAAAAATTGGATTGTAAGGAACTATCTATTCTGCAAATTCAGCAACTTGATAAGTGGGAGAAATTTGTTCAACGGACAGCCCATGTGGTTCATATACTGGACAGAAAGCATACACGAATGGGGGCAGGCACTTTAAAGCTCTTTGGTGACAAGAACCCAAACTTTGCTTTTTTTGCACCTAATGACCATCGTCTTCCACGCATGAAGATACCCATGAGACAGTGCCCATCAGACTTTTTTGCCAGACATCAAGATTATGAAAAGAGAATTTTCTTGTGTAAGATTGCTCAATGGAGGGAGCCTAAATTTGCATTAGGGTATGTATATTTTCATTTATGATAACTATATATTTGTAGTTTTAACATTTAAACACTTCAAGGAGTGATGCCTGAGGGGGTTCTTGATTCAAGGAACTGGACTTATTCTTCCATGTGCAGGCCCCCCCCCCCTCCTCCTCCCAATCATGGTGCCATGTTATCCCTACAGGTTTAGCACTTAGCCCTTATGAAAATTATAAATTAACATTAAACAGCACACTAGCTTAACAGGCTGATTTTTTTTTTTTTTTTTTTTTTTTTAAGTATAGTAGTGAAGAATTTTGCTTTAAATTATAAATCATAAGGACTAAAATATTTTGAATTTTCTCTATTGGATTCTCTGAAAATATAACAGTATTGCTGCTTTATCCATCTAATTAAAACTGGTAATGTCATTGAGCAAAAGTGCTGCATTATACAGGCCAGTTTGATAAAAATACTGCAAATTTTTTGAAATATTTTTCTTCAGTATTTTTAATCTTGCTAGGTCAGTGGTACCTTCATTGTTAAGGTGTGAGGTTGAATCCAATCACATCAGAATAAATTATGTCTTAGTACTTTATTTAATTTATACAGAAAGTCTTTGGTAATAGAACAGTGAAATTTTCTTACTATATTTGTACATTTTGTCAGCTTTTTCACAAAAGAAAGGACAGTTCTAGGAAATTTAGAAGTGGGATATGTAGGAGAGTTGGACACAGTGATGAATAAGCATGTACAAGGGTAATTGAAAGATATGGAGTATACAGCAAAGTTCCTGTATTAGCTCTATACTAAGTATACCTAATGTTCTTGAAGCTTGACTTGTTTGGCAGTTTGGGATGTTGATGTAAATGAAATGCTGAAGGCAGGTGAATAGAAAAAATTAATGAATATTAGATTTTTTTTTTTTCAACAAGTCGGCCGTCTCCCACCGAAGCAGAAATATTGATACCAAATGATAAGAGGGGCACTGGTAACTTGCTGAGGAATAAAGATGAATAATCCAACATCTGACCTTATATAAAGGGTACAAAGAATGGTACTCTCTCAAAACTGGAGACGTTTGGGGGCATTGAGAAAGTAATGGAAATATAGCATGTGTAGTATGTGAATCGTGTGGCATAGCTAGTCAAGCAAACAAGGTTGAATGTAGTAGTAACTATTGGAAAATAAACATGTTCATCAGTATATGAATGTACTTTGAGAAAAGTAACTATATTATGTTTATCTACAGCATTCTCTCTTCATGTTACTGCTGTTAATATCACATTTTACTAAATTTCAGGGAATTAGTACGAGATGTAGGTGCTGTTGGAGATGTTGAGGTTGAAACAGAAGCTATGCTACTTGAACATGGAATTGATTACGCAGAATTCCCAGACACGGTGTTACAAGACCTTCCATCCTTGCCTTGGTCTATCCCTCTGCAAGTGGGTTAAGTAGTTTTTTTTAATACATTGTCTTTGGGAAAGAGGTTCTGGGTTGAGTGTGTGTATGTGCGGCTTATATAATTTAAACTATTAACCCTTTAACTGTCCAAGTGTAGATCTACATTTTTACTGCTAGTGTTCCAAACATAGTTAGTTTTATTTTTCCTGCCTTTAAATTTGGTGCAAGAGGCCTGATAGGCTTAGGCAGTATAGAATGGATCTTAACACTCAGAGTGCACAGTATTAAAAAAACTTATGGGACTACTTAGTACCTTGTGGGAGCACCAGTTAGAGCAAACAGCATAGCAAATCCCAGGGATGCACTAATGCCATGTCTTATTAACATTCCTTATAAGAGGAGAATGATGTTGACCCTGATTTTAATGGCTTTGAGATTGATGTGGCCACTAGTAGTGAAGGAAATATCCAAAACCTAGATAATAACACATGTGCAACATTAAAGTCACATTGTTTCAATTATTATGCAGCTGGTAGTCTCATCCAGCCAGAATGTCCTATCACCTGTGTCCTAAGTAGAGAGAGAGAGAAAAACTATTCTGCAATGTGTAATACATGTTCAACTCGCTTTGACTGGCAAGTTGGCTTTGTCTCATAGAGAGCTGCTCATGAACCAGAGTTAAGGACTAAGTTTATTTAGGCACAGGTCAACGTAAGTACAGTTATCAAAACAGTGTGAATTACCTAGGATAATCAAAAAAAGCCAGACAATGCTATACTGTGCTTGTAGATATGAGGCATAAGCATGACTGTAGCATGTATTATGCATTTCTGCTTGTTCAGACCCAAAGATTCTGCAATATGTGTCATACCTAACCGTACCACGGGCGGGGATAGAACCCGCGATCAGAGAGTCTCAAAACTCCAGACCGATCGCGGGTTCTATCCCCGCCTGTAGTATGGTTTGTTTGCAATCGTGTCATTACGATTTCGTGAGTCACGTGTAATACCTGTTGGTTCATGAGTGGCTCTCTCTGAGACAGAGAGAGAGAGAGGCTGTGAAGAATTGTATATTTTGAAGTACTTTTGTGAACCAATCTATAGGGCCCTGCTGTGAATAATCAAAGCACACAAACATGTATCTAGTAACCATGTACTGTATTAAGATAAGTCACTTCATCTATTACTATTTTCCTTAAAAAAAAAAAAAAAAATCTGAGCATTGCCATCTCTTACAAAAGTGGGCAAATGAAACTACGATAAATTCCTTAACTTGATATTCAGGAAATGAAAGCTCGCACAGACCTGAGGGATGAGTGCATCTTCACCATCGACCCTTCTACTGCAAGGGATCTTGATGATGCAGTGTCTTGTCTGCCGCTACCATCAGGGAACTACCGAGTGGGAGTCCACATTGCTGATGTTAGCTACTTCATACATGAGGGAACACTTCTGGATGAAGTTGCATCCAGTCGAGCTACCAGTATCTACCTCGTTCAAAAAGTAGGTATAGAGTATTGTTTAATGGCATAATGAATAATTGTCATTTTTCTTCCTTTTCATTTTCTACTAAATGCTTTTTTTTTTTTTTTTTTTTTTTTTTTTTTTTTTTTTTTTTTCAAAAGAAATGTGTCAATATAAAATTTCAAATAAATATGATTTTAGACTTCTTATTTTTGCATCAATTATTAAAGTCTCTCCCTTTATGCTTGTTTTTAATTCAGTATAAGAATAATGGTAAAGGATTTTATTGCAAATGTTCCACTCTGATATGAGTCTAGATCAGGGATAGCACAGTGTAGTTAACCCCTTGACTGTTGCAATCCCAAATCCTGAGGTGTCTCCTGGTGTCGCAAAATTTCGAAGAAAAAAAATTCTTATGAAATGATAGAGAATCTTTTCCTGATTTGTAATGACACCAAAAGAACGAAATTTGATGGAAAACTGATGGAATTACGCTCTCGCAAAGTTAGCAACCTCGGCGATATTTACGAATCGGCGATTTCGCCCACTTTGAATCCTATTTTCGGCTAATTCCATTGTTCCAGTCAACCAAACTCATAGCTATTTATTTAGAACTCCATTTTTTCCATCGATTACGTATAAGAAACTGCCCATTTACTGATGTCAACTACCCAATAATGTGGTCAGAAATTGGCAATTTGGCCAATTTCATGAAAATTAAAAAATATGACAATTTCAAAATAGGGTCCAGAATGAACAATGCAGACATTCCTGGCTCTAAAATAACATTTTCTTTGTTCATCAGTCACGTCTTCAGGCCCCTCTGCTTTCTATTTTGAATTTTTATTCAAACAAAAAATAGAAGATTTACTGTTATGCAGACTACTGCAATATTGTAATAATTGTATAAATAATGTCAACCCATTCATGAATGCATATTAGAATGGCTAGTTGGACATTTATTGGAAAATGACATCATTTTACTTTTGAACATCGGCAAAAATCAAACATTTCCCCTACTTTGAGCTCCATTTCAAGGTTCTTTTCCTAGTAAAACCAATCAAAATCACCTCTATTTCTATAATATGTTTTCCATTCTATCAAATGAAACCAAGAAAACGAGAGTATAACCATAATTACTATACGAAAATAGACCACAAAGTCGGCATTTTAATTAAAAAAAACTGTCTTTTTTTTTTTCTCATGCACTGTGTGCTGCAGGACTTTTTTTTTTATATGATGCACACAGACCCATTCTCTCACATGTGGGCCTACCAGCTTTCTCCTGCTTGATTTGAAGCCGCTAGAATTTGAGAGTATATATACATCAAAAACGGTGGCTCGTAAGACGTATATAGTACATGACCAAAACAGTCAAAGGGTTAATGACTAACAACTGGACCACTGTTGTGTACTATTATGGCACTAAGCATCTTTCAGTCCCAGAAGGGATTGGGTATTTGTCACATTCAACATTTCTACTGAGACCTTGGACAAGCAATGTAGTTAAAAGTGATTGATAGCTAGTAGGTTATGGGTGTTTTCATCTTTTAAAGTGGTAATCTTTTCATGAGTAAACATAAGATGTTACTTGTATTTCATCATTTTATGGGCTATATTAGACTTTTCACTCTTCACTTAATTTGCAGGATTACTTCTTAAGTCAGTTATAAGCTGAAAAATGAAATTATGAATTTTACCTTTTAACCACTTAAATGTGACCAACACCTAGTATGCAGGTGACAAGGATGTGTCCAGCATAGCATACTTTTACACACAATTTTTCGTGCCTTCAGATATGTCACATGTCAATATTTTGAATCTCAGCTCAGTTGTTAGGGTCTCCAGTAACCTCTTCATTTTTTTTTTTTTTTTTTCAACAAGTCAGCCGTCTCCCACCGAGGCAGGGTGACCCCAAAAAAAAGAAAGAAAATCCCCAAAAAGAAAATACTTTCAGCATCATTCAACACTTTCACCACACTCGCACATTATCACTGTTTTTGCAGAGGTGCTCAGAATACAACAGTTTAGAAGCATACACATATAAAGATACACAACATATCCCTCCAAACTGCCAATATCCCAAACCCCTCCTTTAAAGTGCAGGCATTGTACTTCCCACTTCCAGGATTCAAGTCCGACTATATGAAAATAACCGGTTTCCCTGAATCCCCCCACTAAATATTACCCTGCTCACACTCCAACAGATCGTCAGGTCCCAAGTACCATTCGTCTCCATTCACTCCTATCTAACACGCTCACGCACGCTTGCTGGAAGTCCAAGCCCCTTGCCCACAAAACCTCCTTTACCCCCTCTCTCCAACCCTTTCGAGGACGACCCCTACCCCGCCTTCCTTCCCCTATAGATTTATATGCTTTCCATGTCATTCTACTTTGATCCATTCTCTCTAAATGACCAAACCACCTCAACAACCCCTCTTCTGCCCTCTGACTAATACTTTTATTAACTCCACACCTTTTCCTAATTTCCACACTCCGAATTTTCTGCATAATATTTACATCACACATTGCCCTTAAACAGGACATCTCCACTGCCTCCAACCGTCTCCTTGCTGCTGCATTTACCACCCAAGCTTCACACCCATATAAGAGTGTTGGTACTACTATACTTTCATACATTCCCTTCTTTGCCTCCATAGATAACGTTTTTTGACTCCACATATACCTCAACGCACCACTCACCTTTTTTCCCTCATCAATTCTCTGATTAACCTCATCCTTCATAAATCCATCCGCCAACACGTCAACTCCCAAGTATCTGAAAACATTCACTTCTTCCATACTCCTCCTCCCCAATTTGATATCCAATTTTTCTTTATCTAAATCATTTGACACCCTCATCACCTTACTCTTTTCTATGTTCACTTTCAACTTTCTACCTTTACACACATTCCCAAACTCATCCACTAACCTTTGCAATTTTTCTTTAGGATCTCCCATAAGCACAGTATCATCAGCAAAAAGTAACTGTGTCAATTCCCATTTTGAATTTGATTCCGCAAAATTTAATCCCACCCCTCCCCCGAACACCCTAGCATTTACTTCCTTTACAACTGCATCTATAAATATATTAAACAACCATGGTGACATTACACATCCCTGTCTAAGACCTACTTTTACCGGTAAGTAGTCTCCCTCTCTTCTACACACCCTAACCTGAGCCTCACTATCCTCATAAAAACTCTTTACAGCATTTAATAACTTACCACCTATTCCATATACTTGCCACATTGCTCCTCTATCCCCTCTATCATATGCCTTTTCTAAATCCATAAATGCAATAAAAACTTCCCTACCTTTATCTAAATACTGTTCACATATATGCTTCAATGTAAACACTTGATCTACATTTTCTTGGGTAGCTTAAGGTAGATCATTTTCTTGGGTAGCTTAAGGTAGATGTCGTTTTGATAAGGACCTGCCTCGTATGGGCCAATAGGCCTTCTGCAGTGTTCCTAAATTCTTATGTTCTTATGTTCTTACACATCCCCTACCCACTCTGAAACCTCCTTGCTCATCTGCAATCCTACATTCTGTCTTACCTCTAATTCTTTCAATTATAACCCTACTGTACACTTTTCCTGGTATACTCAGTAAACTTATTTCTCTATAATTTTTACAGTCTCTTTTGTCCCCTTTCCCTTTATATAAAGGGACTATACATGCTCTCCGCCAATCCCTAGGTACCTTCCCCTCTTTCATACATTTATTAAACAAAAGTACCAACCACTCCAACACTATATCCCCCCCTGCTTTTAACATTTCTGTCATGATCCCATCAGTTCCAGCTGCTTTACCCCCTTTCATTTTACGTAATGCCTCACGTACCTCCCCCACACTTACATTCTGCTCTTTTTCACTCCTAAAAGATGGTATACCTCCCTGACCAGTGCATGAAATTACTGCCTATGTTTCTTCCTTAACATTTAAAAGTTCCTCAAAATATTCTCGCCATCTACCTAATACCTCCATCTCCCCATCTACTAACTCTCCTACTCTGTTTTTAACTGACAAATCCATACTTTCCCTAGGCTTTCTTAACTTGTTTAACTCACTCCAAAATTTTTTCTTATTTTCATTAAAATTTCTTGACAGTGCCTCTCCCACTTTATCTGCTCTCCTTTTGTACTCTCTCACCACTCTCTTTACCTTTCTTTTACTCTCCATATACTCTGCTCTTCTTATAACACTTCTGCTTTGTAAAAACCTCTCATAAGCTACCTTTTTCTCTTTTATCACACCCTTTACTTCATCATTCCACCAATCACTCCTCTTTTCCCTGCCCCCACCCTCCTATAACCACAAACTTCTGCCCCACATTCTAGTACTGCATTTTTAAAACTATTCCAACCCTCTTCAACCCCCCCCCCCCCCACTACTCATCTTTGCACTAGCCCACCTTTCTGCCAATAGTCGCTTATATCTCACCCGAACTTCCTCCTCCCTTAGTTTATTCACTTTCACCTCCCTCTTACTTGTTGTTACCACCTTCCTCTTTTCCCATCTACCTCTTACTCTAACTGTAGCTACAACTAAATAATGATCCGATATATCAGTTGCCCCTCTATAAACATGTACATCCTGGAGCCTACCCATCAACCTTTTATCCACTAATACATAATCTAATAAACTACTTTCATTACGTGCTACATCATACCTTGTATATTTATTTATCCTCTTTTTCATAAAATATGTATTACTTATTACCAAATCTCTTTCTACACATAGCTCAATTAAAGGTTCCCCATTTACATTTACCCCTGGCACCCCAAATTTACCTACTACTCCCTCCATAACATTTTTACCCACTTTAGCATTGAAATCCCCAACCACCATTACTTTCACACTTGATTCAAAACTCCCCACGCATTCACTCAACATTTCCCAAAATCTCTCTCTCTCCTCTACACTTCTCTCTTCTCCAGGTGCATACACGCTTATTATAACCCACTTTTCACATCCAATCTTTATTTTACTCCACGTAATCCTTGAATTAATACATTTATAGTCCCTCTTTTCCTGCTACAGCTTATCCTTCAACATTATTGCTACTCCTTCTTTAGCTCTAACTATTTGAAACCCCTGACCTAATCCCATTTATTCCTCTGCACTGAAACTCTCCCACCCCCTTCAGCTTTGTTTCACTTAAAGCCAGGACATCCAGCTTCTTCTCATTCATAACATCCACAATCATCTCTTTCTTATCATCTGCACAACATCCACACACATTCAGACTTCCCACTTTGACAATTTTCTTCTTATTCTTTTTAGTAATCTTTACAGGAAAAGGGGTTACTAGCCCATTGTTCCCGGCATTTTAGTTGACTTTTACAACACGCATGGCTTACGGAGGAAAGAAGCTTATTCCACTTCCCCATGGATATAAAAGGAAAAGTAATAAGACCAAGAACTATTAAGATAAAATCAAAGAAAACTCAGATGAGTGTGTATAAATAAATGTGTACATGTATGTGTAGTGTGACCTAAGTGTAAGTAGAAGTAGCAAGACATACCTGTAATCTTGCATATTTATGAGACAGACAAAAGACATCAGCAATCCTACCATCATGTATAACAATCGCAGGCTTTCGTTTTACACTCATTTGGCAGGACGGTAGTACCTCCCTGGGTGGTTGCTGTCTACCAACCTACTACATGTCTTTCAATAAAAGTTAAGACCAATCAGTTGCACCTTCACTTAGGTGCTGGTAGCCATGACAAAACTCACTTCCTAGATCATTCAGCAAATTCTAAAGATTCCCCACCTTGATTGGTAAGGCAAAGTAGTGTTCACTTGCGTATCTAATAAAATGAGAAGTTGTATATGGGTATGTTTCCAGCCAGCTGTTGCCCATGTCCTCATGTTATCAATATAGTAAAATTTTAAGGGGCTCTTGATCTAGAGAATTGGATCTGTGCTCTGGCTCCGTGAATTGAACCTGAATACCTTCCATTCCCCCCTTCCCCCCCACGTGCGCTGTATAATCCTACAGGTTTAGCGCTCCCTCATGATTATAATTACAGTAGATCCTCAAATTTCGAACTTCGTTCCAGAAGGCTGTTCGAGTGCCGTTACTGAATGAATTTATTCCCATCAGGAATAATGTAAATTAGATTAGTCCATTTCAGACCCTCAAAAATACACTTATAAAAGCACTTACAAAAATACACTTACATTGGTTGAGTTGGGAGCAGTTCGAAATTTGAGGTTCCACTGTATAATTAAGAGACATTGAGCCTCACTGACCCTATGGGCCACTGAACATGACTATTAGCCCCTCGTGCATTGATCATAAAAAAACAGCTGTTCAGACAATTTGGATATGTACTGAAGCATTGGTGAATGTCTGTATTCTCATAATATTGCTGGGAACCAAAACTAGGGTCTACAGGTGGTTTTGGGTCAGGCATTGTCACTGAATTCCCAGCTTACTTGGTGTTGCAGGCTCCTTCCTCATCCATTAAACACGACATTGACGACCTGTCATGTAGATTGTACAAAGTACAAAAGTTTACAAATAATTCAGAGTAGGCAGCTCTCCTTATCTCCCAGACTCAGCCTCCCACATTTTTTTTCTTTACAGTATGTTTGGTAAATGTAGGATGTAGGATTGCAGATGAGCAAGGAGGTTTTAGAGTGGGTAGGGGATGTGTAGATCAAGTGTTTACATTGAAGCATATATGTGAACGGTATTAAGATAAAAGTAGGGAAGTTTTTATTGCATTTATGAATTTAGAAAAGGCATATGATAGAGTGGATAGGGGAGCAATGTGGCAGATGTGGTAAGTTACTAAATGCTGTACAGAGTTTTTATGAGGATAATGAGGCTCGGGTTAGGGTGTGTAGAAGAGAGGGAGACTACTTCCTGGTAAAAGTAGGTCTTAGACAGGGATGTGTAATGTCACCATGGTTGTTTAATATATTTATAGACAGAGTTGTAAAAGAAGTAAATGCTAGGGTGCTCAGGAGAGGGGTAGGATTAAATTATGGGGAATCAAATACAAAATGGGAATTGACAGTTACTTTTTGCTGATGATACTGTGCTTATGGGAGATTCTAAGGAAAAATTGCAAAGGTTAGTGGACGAATTTGGGAGTGTGTGTAAAGGTAGAAAGTTGAAAGTGAACATAGAAAAGAGTAAGGTGATGAGGGTATCAAATGATTTAGATAAAGAAAAATTGGATATCAAATTGGGGAGGAGGAGTATGGAAGAAGTGAATGTTTTCCGATATTTGGGGATTGACGTGTCAGCGGATGGATTTATGAAGGATGTAATCATAGAATTAATGAAGGAAAAAAGGCGAGTGGTGCATTGAGGTATATGTGAAGACAAAAAAACGTTATCTATGGAGGCAAAGAAGGGAATGTGTGAAAGTATAATAGTACCAACAGTCTTATATGGGTGTGAAGCTTGTGTTGTAAATGCTGCAGCGAGGAGGCGGTTGAAGGCATTGGAGATGTCGTGTCTCAGGGCAATGTGTAGTGTAAATATGCAGAAAATTTGGAATGTGGAAATTAGGAGAAGGTGTGGAGTTAATAAAAGTATTAGTCAGAGGGCTAAAGAGGGGTGTTGAGGTGGTTTGGTCATTTATAGAGAATGGATCAAAGTAGAATGACATGAAGAGCGTATAAATCTGTAGGGGAAGGAAGGCGGGGTAGGGGTCGTCCTCGAAAAGGTTGGAGGGAGGGGGTAACGGAGGTTTAGTGGGCGAGGGGCTTGGACTTCTAACAAGCGTGCGTGAGCTTGTTAGATAGGAGTGAATGGAGACGAATGGCATTTGGGACCTGACGAGCTGTTGGAGTGTGAGCAGGGTAATATTTAGTGAAGGGATTCAGGGAAACCGGTTATTTTTATATAGTCGGACTTGAGTACTGGAAATGGGAAGTACAAACAATGCCTGGGATATTGGCAGTTTGGAGGGGTACGTATATGCTTCTAAACTGTTGTATTCTGAGCACCTCTGCAAAAACAGTGATTATGTGTGAGCGAGGTGAAAGTGTTGAATGATAATGAAAGTATTTTTCTTTTTGGGGATTTTCTTTCTTTTTGGGTCACCCTGCCTCGGTGGGAGACGGCCGACTTGCTAAAAAAAAAAATGTTTGGTAAAACTTGTAAAGAAATGTGGCTTTTATCTTTTATAATGTTGGCATGTACTTCATGCCAGCTGATCAACCTCTCCATCTTACTTGACCCAGTAAGTTAATATTAACTGTTTCCACACACACAGTTGGCTGGCATGTGGTGCCAACAAGTATGGTAAGACACTGCAGAGCAGGTCTTTATCTTGAAAATGTTTTGTTCAGTATTGAGCTTCATGCAGTCATTGACTTGATAACTAACACTGAGCAGAATATCTGGATACCATGTCTTAACCATGTCCAACAATGGCAAAATTCTGTTCTGTTATATAAATTCATCACCCACTAAAACTGAGCTGGGGTTTGCAATAATGTTTTTTGTCAATTGAGAGCTTTTGAGAAATGATAGTTTGTATTCAGATTCATCTAATTTTTTCAGGTTCACTTTGTAGAAAAAAGGGTCAGTTGACAGTTTACAATTATTTAACCTGTGTTAAACCTAGGCCATTTTAACAGATTAATTTGATACCCCCACTTAACTCTTTATTTTATTTCATGTAGTGGTACATCTCTGTTAGTATTTAATGTTACTACACAATGAAGAGGCACTCATTAGTTTTACAAGAGTTTCTAAGAGTAGTGTATGCTGTATTGTGTACCATCATTGACATAACAATATTTTGATTCTTCATTTTCAGGTAATTCCCATGTTACCACGGGTCCTCTGTGAGCATCTATGCTCATTAAACCCAGGAGAAGATCGCCTGGCATTCTCAGTTGTATGGGAGCTAAGTCCAAGTGGTGAAGTGCTTGGTGAATGGTTTGGCCGCACTGTTATTCGATCATGTGTAAAGTTGTCTTATGAGCATGCACAAAGTATGATTGAAAACCCAGATAGAGAATGGTCAGATGAGGAGATTCCACAAATTACTGGACCCTATTCTAGTTGTGATATTAGCAAAGCGGTCAATAATCTTCACACTATAGCAGTAAAGCTTAGGAAAAAAAGGTTCCAGGATGGTGCCTTACAATTAAATCAGGTTAAAATTGCCTTTAATCTTGATAATGAAACAAATATGCCAAATGGTTTCTATGTGTATGAGCAAAAAGATAGTAATAAATTAATAGAGGAATTTATGTTGCTTGCAAACATGGCAGTTGCTCACAAGATATACAAGTCCTTTCCTAACCTTGCTGTGTTGAGACGTCACCCTTCTCCTCTCGAGAATCCCTTGGAAGGTGCTGCTCATGCTTTGAAGGCAGTAGGTATAAACTTGGATATATCTAGTGCTGGGGCACTCAATAAGTCAATTACACGTTATGCTGGCAATGATAAATATACCATTGGAAGACTTCAAGTTATTACGTCTATGTGCAGTAAGCCCATGCAGTTTGCTCGGTACTTTTGTTCAGGGTATTTGACAGACAAGTTAGAGTACAAGCATTATGCACTGAATGTACCTCTCTACACTCACTTCACATCTCCAATTCGTCGTTATGCTGATCTGATGGTTCACCGGCTTCTTGCTGCTGCTGTAGATTCAGATAGATATGGGCCACCATCACGAGATTCAAGGACAGTTCAGAAGGTAGCTGAACATTGTAATGATAAAAAACAAACATCAAAGATTTTGCAAGAATTAAGTGGTGAACTTTACTTATCTCTCTTTATCAGACAAGTAAAAGAAATGGAGGAAGAGGGGATGGTAGTCATGGTTTTAGATCGAGCTTTTGATGTTCTTGTACTTCAGCTGGGGGTCATTAAAAGAGTGTATACTGATAAACTTCCTCTTGATAAAGTGCTGTATACAAAAAGTAATGGAATTATGTTTTTAGTCCTGATTTGGAAAGCTGAAAAAGATTGTATTCCTATAAAGCAAAAGATTGGTTTGTTCAGTCATGTGAGGGTCTCTCTCCAGCCTGTGGAAAATGATGCACTAAAGTTTCAAGCTGTTCTTTTGTGTCCCACATAAATTCTTGACTTTTTTTTTTTTTTCTCTGGTTTACAGTGATGAGTTTGAGGTCCGTCCGTCTGTCTTAAAATTTGTGACTAATCTTTGTTTTTTATTCATGTGACTGGGCCTGATTTTTGGCCGATACCCAGTTTAGTTTCAGCATATGGCAAGTTGTGTTATATATAGACTAATTTCATTTTAGTTATTTTGTAATGCACATTTGGTTTAGAATGTTAATAAAAATATCAATGTTTTTATTCTATTAGGTAGATATTGATTTCTTATGGGATAAGAAATTCCTTAATATCTTAAACATTTTGATCAGCTATTCCCTCCCTCATATACTTGTACCTGATATGAAAAATTATTTGGATACTTCATATGGATTTTTTAAGATGGCTTTTGTGTTCAGCGATAGATCACTTGGTGTAGGGGTTTTATCACCCTGTCTGGATTACTGTTTTCAGCACAATGTATTGTTCAGGCAGAGAGAGCTTTTAAAGGAGGAAACTTAATATAAAATATTTTAAAAGTTTAACATGATAAATGTACATAAAACTTTAAACAATATGATTTTAATATCAAGACTATATTCTCTGCTTCGGCTAACTTGATCAGATGGTACTTGTCTACCTCAGGTAAAATTGAGGAATACTATATATTTTGCATTTATCTCTTGTTATTCTACCACAATTTGCTAAAGGTACTGTGTTACTATTAAGAGGTTTGTGGATATACATTTTATGGTATTAGTTGACATTTTGTTTCTTAGAGACCTATGAAGTGTTTTGTATGAAATTCATCTGACACCTTTTAATATTTTATTTGTTTTGGACTCTACATAAAACTAAAATGTGATAATGCAGTTTTTTAAAAAATAAAATGGTCATATCACCTTTGTATTTATGTCCTGATTGCAAATGGAGACCAAAGTGTATTGCAGACAAAAGGGGCAACATTGTTTAAACAAACTGACACCATCTGTCTAAGATTGTAGCAAATGGTTATACTGTGTTTAATCCTTTCAGGCCCCTCAAGGCAGGTTTCTTGAATCCAGTAAGGGGCTTTTGATCCAAGTAATTGGATCTGTACTTTGGATCAAACCTGAATGCCTTCTATTCCTTCTCCAAGGTGCTCTTCCCTCCTATGAATCACTTTAAGCCAGAATGGTCCTTGGTGCTGGTAAGGAGCTCTTAATCTGTTAATTGGACTTCACCTTCATTTCCTTGGATTGAATCTGATTGTCTCCCTTTTCTCAGGTGCTCTGACCCCTATAGGTTTAGTGCTAATATACTGCTAACCCATGAGGCTCATTGGAAGATGGACCTCATGGGTTAGGTTCAATGGGAGGATGGCTCTATGCCTGCCTTCTTGGGTAGTAGGTGCTGTATAGCCCTTGTGGCTTAGCGCTTCTTTTTGATTATAATAATAATTGGGTAGTAGGGTTAATCGAAAGGAGTTATGCGATGATGGTGTAACACTGCCTCACCAGAAAGAGGACTATTTCTGATTCTGATGTGTTCTTGCTGCTGCAGAAACCAGCAGGTAAAAAATTGTGGGTAGGCAACTATTACCAGTGTATATGGTTCTAACAATAGTGGTGCGTACGCGGACCTTCCGGGGCATGAGAAGTAAGGGAAAGGTAGCAACATCTAACAATCCTGTTTCTTGCTGACTTAAATATGAATGGTATGTGTAACAATGTGACAGCCTAGTTGGGGGAATGTTTGAGATCTGCT